AATGGTTATTTTCACTTTTTGCAGACTCTTTCTTTTATACAAATATATACTTATATGGTTACTGGAGCAAAAATACAATCAAGTATTTTTCTACTATTATTTAACATGGAAATATTTTTCCCTATTATTGCACCATAATTTTCTTTTTATGACTGCTTGATATTCTATTCTTTGGATGTTTCTGAAGTCATTACATCATTTTTATAACTTTGGATCACTCCACTTCATAGATGAAGAGACTGAGGCCAGTTAGGGTACTTCATGTTTGGATCTCTATGAGTCCTTTCTTTATGTCATGTGGTCACTTTCATTTGAAGATGAGTTTACCTGATACAAAATTATTGGCAAAAACTGTGTGGAGTCAGTTTTCTTAATTCTGTTGTGTCATTTGGTATTAATAAAACATCAACAAATAATGTAAAACATGTCCCTGATGAAAATGAGGTTGTCAACAAAGGGAGATGAACAGCTCTTTCCTCTGACCCAGCAGTAATTTCTCTTGTGATGTTGGGCAGGTCTCATGAAATTACTGTGTCTTCACATCTGTGTGGGGACAGCATGATATTACTTCATGCTTCAGTGTTTCAAACATTTGTATCAGTACCAGGTTTCTTTTTGGTTTTTGCTTTTTTAAAACTGGGGATTGAACCCAGGGGCAGTCTGCCACTGAGCTTCTGTGGCAGGATTTTGAAGAGCTGAGATAGACCTAGGTGAGGTCCATGTAGGCAGAAGTTGGGAGGGAAGATCTCCCCCCTGGAAGTTGTTTCAGGAGGACCTGGTTTAGAGCAAGAGAACACTGCCTTGGGGAAAGGAGTCATCTTTGGAAATTGAATGTGGAATTAATTATTTTGGTAGGAAAAGCCGTATCAAACAGCTTAAAATGTGCCAATGTTAGTTCTCAACAGGACACGAGAAACCATTTTCAATTTTCCAAGTATATATTTAGACAAGCAAGAGTTGAACTAGACCTCAGGTCCCATGACAGCAAATTAAAGAAACTGGTATCGAAGCACTCAGCCTTGGGTGTGTGTAAACTTCATGATGCCAAATTGAGCACACGTTGTCTGTCATAGAATGATTAATGGCAGTGACAAACCTTTCCTCCCTCAATTCCTAAGGACTTCCACATAAACCTTTAATGTCTTTTGAAAAAAAAATCTCAGGCTGTCCTATTTTTATTTCCAAATGTCAGAAAAGTATATTTGCTACACACCTCCTCCTTATACTAGGGACACAGATTCACATTCAAACAGCGGAATCCATGTTCAAAAGCTTCAGCCTTGTTTCAATATGTCTTGAAATACGTGTTTTAAAATGTAGACAAGTTAAATAGACTGGAAGTAGACTCATTCAGTAATGCTTCTTTAAACCTGACTTGTGGCAATGACGAGATAATTGGGTCAAGGCTGAAGGAACATGCAGATAAAAGTGGGATGCAGAAGGGCAAAGAGAGACCAAAGTGACGAACCTTCTCTTTCTCACATCCCAAAGGATATGTGCAAGGAAAACAATAGGATCATAGATCCTGAGTCTTCAGATTACTATCAGAAAGCATGTGATTTAACATTTTCATTTTATAGAATAGAAAACCGAAACTTGAAAGACGTATTCAAGTTTCCAGGGGTTATTAATAGCAATGCAAGTCTGTGTTTTCTCTGAGTCTTTATCTAGTGCTTTTTGTCATTCACTGGAATATTTATTGAGTTACTACTGTTACCAGGAAGTAAGATGAACAACCCTGTGGACAATATAAAGAGCAGGGGGCATATTACCATCCTTAAGACTTTCCCTATTTGGGCTGTACAAAAAACAGTGCCTTTTAGACTGGAGAGATTGATGTCACACTCACTCTTACAGAGGTTCACACAAGTCAGCTTTGGATTGTGGAGGTGGGACCTGAGCTAGTCCTGGAAAAGGGATAAGATTGGAAGTGGCAGGTGGTAGGTGAGGGAGAGTGCACTCCAGGCAGTAAGCATTAGCATTGCTACAGGAAGCAAACTGCGGCTGCAGAGAACATTCGTTTTGTTCTTTACAATAGTTTTAATATTCTCATTTTAATCCATGTGAATAACTTTGGGCAAGTTACTTAGCCACTCTTGTCCTCTGTTTCTTTAGCAGCAAGAAGGGAATCACAAAGCAAAGCTGCATTACAGGGAAACTGGGAGGCATCATGAATTTGAAGCATTATAAAGGGTTTTATTCACATAAAGGGGAAGGAGAATATGCTCCACAAAATTCTACAGCCGGAATTTCAAAGCATCATTGTTGCCTAATGATGGTTTCAGCTTTGCCCTCAGTGGATATATAGTTGGAGTTTTGAAACTGAAAAATATCTTTGTTATGTTTTGCCTGGATCAAAGCACACATAAAGCCTGATCGAATGGAAAAAAAGGAGAAAGATACAGGCGAGTGCCTCAGCATGACAACGAGCGGCCCTCAGGTTTTTGCTAATACTCTACCCAGTTAAAATGTTCTGAAACCTTTTTGTAAGCAGGGACAGCAAATCCAACAAAATTACCATATATATCTCATCCAGAATGGGTGCTCACACCCTCCTGGAGATCAGTATTGCTTCAGATAGAAAGACCAACACTTTGAGACCCTCTCCACAGGGTATGAGGCCATGCCCAACAGAAGACAGATTTATTGAAAGAAATGTGACATGGCACAAAGTTGGGAAAATGGACGAGAGGGTGAAGATAAGGAAATCGGTTTAAATAAGAACTAGTCTTTGTAACGAAATCCAGATTTTCCACTCTTATGAACATAATGAGCTCCTTAGGATGAGGAGGTTTCATGAAATGTTTTATAAGGAACTTGTCAATTGTTTGCATATAAATGAGATGTTTAATGAGAACCAGGTCTGAAAATGAGTCAAGTTGGTGTTCTACTAACACCACGTGGAGGGACATGTTTCTTTCCCTTTCCCTAAGCTACAAGTTCCTTTTTTTCTATATTTTTTTAATTGATGCATTATATTTGTACATAATGTTGGTATTTGTTGCTACATAATAATGCATGCACACAATATCACAATACAATTTGGCTAAATCATTCCTAGTATTTCCCCTTTCTCTCCCCTCCTCCCTCCCCCTGATCCCTTTTCTCTACCCCCTTGAACTCCCTTCAAGTTTCATAAGACTTTACTAACACCCCCATCTTTCTTTTCCTTTTTCCTCTCTAGCCCCCTCATGGGAGAGGAAAGCATATGAATGACTCCTGACCTTCTGAGTTTGGCTTATTTCCTTAACATATTAGTCTCAAGTTCCATCCTTTTTTCCTTCAAATGACATAATTTCATTTTTCTTTATGGCTGAATAAAACTCCATTGTGTATATATACCACATTTTCTTTATTCATGCATCTGTTGATGGACACTTAGGCTGGCTCCATATTTTGGCTGTTGTAAATTGTGCTGCTAAGCTCTAATTTCTAATGGCACCCATGCAAACTGGACAGTCATCTTATGTCATGGTTCCAGATATAAATGAAAGCAGGAAATATTACCATTAGTGACATAGATTTCAACCAAACTTGGAAGGATCATATGAGAATGAAAATTCTAGATACATAGCTTTTGTACGATGGGCCTCTTATTCTCTTTTTAAAGGACTAATTAATGTCTAGTTCTTAACTCCCTAATCCTTCTCTTTACCTTCCTCACCAATTCTCCTAAGATTGCCCAGGAATATAATATTGTGTTTTCCTTCTAGAGGGCACTCCTCTAGAGTCCCCAAGCCTCTTGGCTACATCTGCTTTATGTGTAAAAAGACAGATGGAAAACTAGAAAAAATAATCTAAAAAAGATATATCATTTTTGAGCTCCAAAATAAAAAAAATCAAAACTATCAATTAATTTTATTGGCTGCTTATTCCCCCTAGGATAATTATTTACATAATAAAATTCAACTGTTTTGCAAACTTTTGAAAGTCAGTAATTGCCTTCTTTCACTTTTCCCTCTCCTCCTTGTCCCAATATTTAGCATAATGTTTTATTCTCAGAAAATGCTCAATCCATGTAGGCTGGATGATCATTTTTCAAACTGACTAGTTTATCAACAGGTCTTGGACATTTGTCTGATTTTTCCAGAGTATTTGGGGGCTTGCTATGTAGTCATAGGGAGGCCCTCAGGGGCTATGGTTCATTTCTCTTTATCTTTCTTGCTTTAGCTAACCTCATGGTCTTCACAGTGCTTCCCATAGGTAGGTTTCCACTGCTGCTTATTGAATAAAAAGTTTCTGTTGTTGAGAAATAGCTCCTCAATTGTAAGTTCTGTTATAAGAACTTATACCACAAGATTGAATTAAAAGCAAAACCAACAAAACAAAACAAAATCTTGCTAGTGATCTGGCCGTTCAGTGTTGAGAATCTAATACAATGATAAAAGGTTATTTCCTTCGGGGTATATTATCTCTCTAGCCAGATGCTCATTGCAACATAAAAGACAAGCTCTTTAGAGCCAAAAGTTTCTCCCTTATGTGGATGGAGGGAAAAAAATGAATACCACTTACCTGGTCAACATTATTTCATAGGGTGCTGAGGAATAAATCAGGCCTGGCATGACCTTCATTGAAATTTTAGATTTATTTACAGAGGTTTGTACTGATCGCTTTATCTACCGGAGGCTCCGTTTCCCCTTGGTGACTCATAAGTAATGTGGTCCACGCAAACCCGTGTAAATAGAGCTAATATTTCAAGGGAGGTCATGCTATATACTCTTCCCCTGAGAATAGATGATGGCTGACTGCTGGGTGGATATGAAATTTATCTTCATATGGGTGGCGAGGAATCGTGTGGCCTAGGGGGCAATGACCAGGTTCTGTGAATCCTAACAGGGGCTGCAGGATACTAAACTCCAAGTGATTGTGTTATGTGTTTACACTTATGGGCCAAGATGAACAAAATAACTCACTCAAGTCAAATCTTAAATGGTCTACAAAGGTCATTATTGATTTTTCTCAGCTTATTTGTATACATTTTTCCCCTTAGACAGATTAAATCCAGTAGTCTCCAAAGAAGATTTTTATTCACCGGTAAATAGAACTTTGAACTGTTTACCTCTATTAGTTCCATTTCCTCTTTTCCTTTTTCCTACTCTCATCTGTTGCCACATGCCTTTTTCTTCTGTTTCATAATATATTTTGTTGCAATTTCTTGTACTTAGGTAGCTCTTCTTCCCCAGTTCTATTTTGACCTCTGTGATCAGCAGCCCTCCTGCTAAGAGACTTCTCCAACTCACGCAGAAGGATACCCACCTGCATGGATATGCTCTGGGTCAATGTAAGACTTTTGGGATATAAAAACCAGTTTCTCTTTGTAAGTTGTGCAAAATATAAAATCCTGTATATAAAATATAAATACAACTCTAAAATATACAATTGTATTGAACCTTTCGAAAGTTATTAATTAATACACATAGAAAGCAGACAAGAAAACTGTATTTACATTAATCAAGAAATACATACCAAGCACATTCTGCAGAGTTGGTATGTTTTTGCCTCCAACACGAGAGAACGATCTTGTCCTCAAGTAGATTAAATATGTTTGGGGGAAATAAGACTAACATTCTAGAAAAAATACTGAAGAATACAATTCTGTGTAAAATTAGCTATGTGGTATGGCCTTCTAAACATATATGTGGTCATGCCACTCTCTTCAAAACCATCCTGGAGAATAAGTCTAGACTCTTTTTACACAATCCATAAGAGCTGCTTCTCTCCCCTCTTCCCCCACCCCCTCTTTTATTCTTGGGCATTGGAGATTGAACCCTAGAAGTTTTACCACTGAACTACACCCCAGACCATTTTTTTTTTTAAAATTTGAGACAGGGTCTTACTAAGTTGTTGAGGGTCTCACTAATTTGCTGAGAGTAGCTTTGAATTTGACTTCCTTCTGTCTCAGTCTCCCAAGTTTCTGGGATTACAGGTGGACTCAGATAATCAATCATTTCTTTTTTATGGCCCCTAAATTCTATGTTCTGGATTCAATGTACACATATAGACTATTATCATATTTATTTTGGCATGGAGAAGCTTAAGATAAATAATTTCTATCAGAGAAGTCATGTGACATGTAAGGTCCTTCTCAAACCTATTATCTCATCATCTTTACCTCTCCTCCGCTTGAAATGCCTTCTACCACTATCTCCAAATGGCCAATATTGGTGTCTCAAATGCTCCCAAGGCTAAGTGTGTTATTTTTGTCCCCGAGTTAACATAACACTTGCTTCTACTCCACTGCATTTTAAGTTGTCTCTTTATCTCACTCTCAAACTAGACCATGAGCATTTTGAAGGCAAATACTGTGTTTTATTCACGGTGGAATCACCAGTGCCTAGCACCAGAATGTTTTATGGGTGTTTTATAGGTGAATAAGTTGTCAGGAGGTGGCAGTACCATCTCCAGGAATAGAGAATGCAGTCACTTTATGAGACTCGAGAGCCACTAAATACAACCCTCACACCAAAATATCCCCCATCACCTTGCCTGGGAAGCAAGAGAATCTGCTCATTCTCCTTGGGGTTAAAGTTGCCGTGATAACGATGCTGTGATATGGGGTGAGTTACTTACCTTTATCACATCACCTTGTACCGTCATTATCTGCATCATTATCTTGAGCAGCAGCAGTGCCTGTGGGGTACTTTGCCTGGCATTGTGGATTCAGAGTCATAAAAACCTCTCAATGCCCTGGAGAATCTAATATAGTAGTAGAAAATAAAAGCAAATGTTACATAATAGCACAGAATTTTCCATGGAATGCTACTATCTCAGAATACTTTGGGGGAATAAAAAACATGCTTCGAACAAATAAGGTGTTATATATCCACGTTCTAGAGATTTATAGTATACAATAACAAGATAGGAGCCTTTAAAGCTTTGTGATTAAGATATCATTTAACTTTTTTTTAACTGAGATATAATCACATGGAGCAGAAATACAGATTTTAAGTATACATTTTGATGAGTTTTGACCAACAGATATACTCTTGGAACTAAAACCTTAAGATACAGAATATTTCTGTCATTCTAGAAAGTTTTTTTAATGATCTTTGCCATTCAATCCTCTTTCCCCTCTCCTCACAGACAATCACTATTATAATTTTTATCCCTATAAATAGAGTAAGTTTGCTTCTTCTTTACACAAGTTGGGCAATTCTTTCTTTAAAAATGTAACAAATATTAATATTACACATTTATTTTACATTTTACTGTGGAGTATGCTTTGAAAATTGCTGGGTTAATCCTTTATAGTTTTTAGTGGAAGTTTATATTCGTTATCTGATTTAACTTGAAATAATAAAATAAGGAAACTTTAAGTCTAAATAAGTGATTATTTGTTGCCACAGAAATTTAGATGAAAATACGGTACTTAGAGCTCATTTGAATTGAGAAAGCTTTCTAGTGGTTGTCAGCCAAGCTTCAACTGCACCTTCTGGACAAGGAAGAGTCTGATGGGGTGAGGACTGAGTGTTCCGAGACATAGGAGTGGGTTGGGCAAAGATTTAATGACTGCAAGTGTAATGTACATCAGAAGAGGAGCAACAAGGACAGAGCGGGGAGAATGAAGGAAGCTACCTTTCGCACCCTAAATGTCCTGCTCCCAGCCCTGGACACACCAACGTGTGCCTAGAGAGGTGCTGCACTCCCGAACCTCTAGGAGATGTGTTTCCTGCACAATCTTCTAAAACATATCTCCCCAGCTGAGGTCACATAAACTCCAAGTAGAGATTGAGCACAGCTTGTACTTCAGCTCCACTCTCTTTCTCACACCCAGGGTTGATGCATGGCTATCAACAAAGTTTCCTTCGTGTTCATTTTGCTTTTAGTATATTTTAATGGAAGGTGTGTTACTCACAGCTTTGTGCTTAAATGTTATAGATGGGGAAGTGCTTTGCAAGGATGTCGCATGTCTTGGAACTCCTAGATAGTGTAGATCTTGCCGGGGTGGTTTCTTGTTAGACCATTCCTGTTCTCTCAGGGGCATGTCTGTCTCCCTTCTCTCTTATTAGACTCTTCAATCATTCAGAAAAAAGGGTAGTGTTAGGGGTAAAGGGTTGAAGACTGAAAATACCCATCCTCAGAGGTGAACAGCAGGTGGCTTTTTGGGCTGATGGGGCCACCTTCCCAGAGAATTCCTCTCTAAAAGAGTAGGTAGGGTATTTGTTAAGTAATTCATTGAGTGGGGTAACATCATTCATGCTGAATCAACAACACTGCCAATTTAGGGGCTTGCTTAGAATTGCTCTTCATTATTAAAATCAGTAGTGGAGAAAACGCAAGAGCACACACATATGCACATACGCACATACATACTACACCAGACACTGTTCACTGCGGTGAAAAACATGAAAGAAGACCTGACTTAAAGAGCAAGGAAAAGGGATACAGATACAATATTGGGTTAGTTCTCAACAGGACAAAAACCACTGCAGGCATGTTTGGCAACTTCCTCTGTGTCTCCCTTTTGCACCCTACCCATTGGAGACTTTATGCCCTATTGTTCTTCTCCAAAGTTCTCTGCACTAACATTGCCACATTATGTGGAAGGAAGCAGCAGAGAGGAAACTACGAGAAGATGAGATGTGTAATCCTTTTCCATGAAGTCCATGTTTTATCTGTTGTACATTTTTTTTACTAGATAAGAACAATGTGCATAAAATGTAACATAGTAGAGACCTTCCATAATATGTATGGCTGCATCCTGATTTCACAAAGAAAGGAAAAAGCATAATAACAGAGGCACATTTTCAAGTTCTCAGAGTGAGCTAGCTGGGGCACCAGAGCTAACCGCACTTCCTGGCTCCCTTTTCATCCCTTTATCCTATATCTTGATAACTCATGGAATAGAGAAGCAGTAGGCTGTGTGTGTGGTTTTCTATTGGGGGAAAGTATTTCCTTTTATGTCTCATATACTATGTGACTTCTTCACAGAAAGCCTCCTCTTAGTTCCACAATACTGGTCAGTAGGACCTTGCCTTTCCTCACCACATATTCTATTTGTGCTTCTAATTGTCTTCTGATTGCCTGCTCTCCCTGATTCACTGTGAGTTGTGTGAGAGGACTGTCCCTAGCAAGTAGTTTATGCTCAATGAGTGTTTGTTGGTTCAATAAATAAATTTGGATTGAGTTCTTATGTAGTATGTTTCAGACAGATTTGCAAAGATATATCACATGTAGTATATAGGAATATTACTGTTTAGTTCAAAAACTTTAAAATATTTTATTGTGTTACAGTCATCTGTGGTTAAGAAAAACAAAACTGAAATTCAATGGGAGAATAATACTAACTCAGAGATAAAGCTGAGAACCAGGCTTAGAAAAGGGTAGGAATGGGCCAGCTATGGAGGAGCAGATATGGTGATGACTACAACAGTCTGGGGAGACCTGGGTCAAGGACCAGCAAATTCCTTGATCACAAATTTCCACTATTCTCTTATTGGGAACAAGTTTAATGTGTCAGGGAGGGAGCAGTCAATTATTATAGCTTGATTTTGTTCTTTAGACCAACCAATGGTCAAACAACAAATTCTTCTAAAGAAGAGTCTATTAGAAAAGAAAAATGAATAAAAATGAATGAATGAATGAATGAAAGTGACTGATATAGGAAAACAAAATAAGGCATGTATTTTCCATATATTTGTCCACTGATGAATTGCCTCAGATCATTCTCTGTTTTCATGGTCTCATGGTTCTGTACTCTAATGGGAAACATAGGTGCTCCCCAGCTTTGGGGAACCTCTCATGCAGGGATTCCCTGGTCTGCTAAGACATTAGTCTTTCTTAACTCCAAAGGTCTGCCATCTACTTGATATATGTTAAATGTGTACTGAACGAATGAAAAAGAATAAGAAATGGGTGAAGTGGTGATCATCAGAGACTAATATCAAGGATGACAGAGACAAAATGTCATAAGGAAGATGCGAACAATAATAAGCATTTTACTTCAGGTTCATATTCCATTTGCTGGTATTTCTCACAACAGCCTTGCAATATAGGCAGGATGGTTTTATTCCTTTTTACTGATGAAAAAATTAGACTTAGCGAGATTAAATGATTTATTCTGGGTCACAAAACTAATTATTTGCAAAGCTGGGATCAGAATATAGGTCACCTATCTCCTATTTCAATGCTGGATATAATGGTTAAATTTTTTTCATTTTTTTATTCAAATGTTTGGTGATGGATGATAAGTCAGAGAAGGGTATGGCGTTTTGTAAGGGAAGAAAAGAAGTCTGAGGAAATTTGAAAATAATGAGCAGTATTGGAAATGAAGTTAATAAGAAGTGTTATGTTTATGTGTGCTGAGGTATGAGAATGGAAGGGCCCTGTGTGTGTATGTGGGTGGGTGTGTTTAAAGTGAAACATTAAATACATATTCTCTTAGAAATAAGACTCTGAGCAGAGAATAAAGGAAAAAGATGATAGAATCTTCTCAAAAATCTTTTTCCTTTAAAAAATTTTTTTTGTACTTGTAGATGGACAGAATACCTTTATTTGTTTACTTTTATGTGGTGCTAAGGATTGAACCCAGTGCCTCACACATGCTAGGCAAGTGCTCTGCCACTGAGGTATAGCCCCAGCCTCTCAAAGGTCTTTTTCTTATTGTTCCTATCCTAGACATCTCTTTGAACATTAAAGGTTGGATTTTTATTGTTGCTGGTGTTGAATTATTATATTATAAGGAATTATTATTGAAATGGATGAGCTTTTGCTACTTACATTATATAATAAACCTCCTAGGGACAACCACAATAAGTCAACACAAATATTAAAAAGAGAAGATTTGGGTTTCTGGAGAGCAGTTCATAAAGAGAGGCATTGTTAAACATATTCAAAATATTTTAGACTGAATAATCACGTAGTACACAATTATTGCTGTGGCATAACAATCCCTTTAGAGAATATTCATAAATATCTTAAAATCTGGGCACAATACCTTTGGAAAGGACTTGGGAAGTTTCTGGTATGTGGATCCTTACCCAGGCAGCCCTAATAGGTGGGTTAGCTCGCTTCCTTTTGTTTAGATATCATCTGCTGTTGTGGAGGGGTGATGTTGGCTAGAACCTTCTCAGCTCTGGGCTCTGTCAGATGCATGGGGAAGCATTCCAGATTAGAAATTGATATTCAAGCCAACTCTTTCTCATTTGTCATCTTCAAGCATTATTTAAAAGTTAGAATTTGATTCAGACTCCCTGGAAGGCTTGATCTGAGATGGAGAAGGTGTCTACTCTGTCTTTTTATTCTCCCTGTACAACTCCAACATGCACGTTCATTTTGGGGGGTAAACTGATATGTGCAAGAAAGGAGAAGAGCTTGAAATAAAGGATAGCAAAGATTACAGTTAGTCCCAATTTCTCACTTTGTGCAAAGCCTGAGCAAGGAGATTTTCAGTGAAGATATTCCTGAAAGCATACAGGTCAAGCAAAAAGCAAGAAATAAAGAAAACCAGAAGCAAATAGAGACCTAAGCAAGAGACAGACATGACCTGTAGGCAGCACACCACAACAGGAAACAGATTGCAGAGAAACCTTCAGCCATAATAGGAAAAGAAAAGAGGGCTGGGGATGTGGCTCAAGCAGTAATGCACTCGCCTGGCATGCGCAGGGTGCTGGGTTCAATCCTCAGCACCACATAAAATAAAATAAAGATGTTGTGTCCATCGAAAACTGAAAAATAAATATTAAAAAATTCTCTGTCTCTTAAAAAAAAAAGTCCAAGTCCAGTGTCATAGAAACCTTGAGAAACTCACCTCGTGAAAACATGGCTGCACAGAAGAGGGGAAGTGGGGAGGGAACGTCAATATTCATTTCATTGTTGGCAACATTTTGATAAAGAGCTTCAGCTTCCCCCAAAAGTGTTCCATCATTTTGGCAGTTTTCAGATTTGGCAAAACATTTAAAGAAGAAAAAAAAAATCTACATTTAAAACTGGTGATTTTCACCTTTTTCTTCCCCATTCTTTTAGCTCCAGTTTTTCTGAGGCAGAACAAGAGGAAAGTCTCATAACCCCTGAAATTCTTATAGACACAAAAAGAAAAGAATTCCTAAAGTACGCCTGAGATGTATGTTTTGCCTTTTTACAGAGAGTAAAAATTAGCATTCAGACTCCTTGTTACAAGTCCCATTTTGATCTTTTTTTAATTGCCACTGAGAAAGTAATGAAAAGCAATTCCAATTTAGCCATGAAAATCCTACAAATGATAAAAAAGACCGAGCTGACAGGTGAACTGAAAATGGTCATGTCTTTCCTCTCACTTTGAGTCTAACTACAACTAATAATCGCACTGAGTCCTCCTTTGAACTGCTCTTGGTGTCTTTCATCTGGAGAGTTCAAAGCTCTTTACAAACAATAAATAATTAGGTCTCACAAAAATCCTTAAAGTAAGAACATGAATTACACTGTACCCATTTTACAGTTAAATAATGAATAAGCACCAGCTTGGAAATGGTCATGGAAACCCAATCTGTCCTCTGCCCTACTCCTATGTCTCTAGCATGCCCTGCACCTGACAAGTTAGAATAGATCTCCCTTTTCAAAAAAAAAATAGTTAATGAAAATGGTTACCTCCTATGTCTGCAGCGGTGGCCTGAACACAGTGAGAGCTACAGAAAAAGTATAAGACCTGTAATCTTCCTTGGAGAAGATGTAGGCAGATGAAAAGACAGTTCTGATGTGCAGGGTCCAGCAAAGAACAACACCAGACGTTAGGTCACCGTGTTCCCAAATCCTAGGAATACAGGACTTCAGACATGCTGGGGAATCAGACATGCTTCTCAGAGGAGGTGGATTGGGTGGAGATTTTGAAACTGACTGAATAGAAGATTTAGGTTAGGTCTTTCAGGTTCAAGGAACAAAGATGCCCTGTTTGGGGAAGACAACGGATAAATAATTAGAGAGCATCTCCCCAAAGCATGCAGCATAGGCCTTTGCATATATTAGGTACCCAAGGAAACTGAGTGTGTGACTGACATACAGAGTTAGGGAAAGTGGGGGACGGGGACGGGGCCAGTACAGAGCTCAACACTGTCCCCTTACAGTGATTGGAGACTCAATTTAGTAACATGTGAAAGGGAGATTTTCTTTGCATGAAGCAAACTAAAGGTAACATTTTCTTAATGAATTTTTAAATCCTCACCTTATTTTGACTTCATTCTTTTGCTGGGGATTTTGAAGTTTGTTCCATGTATGTGGAGATGGAGGCTTTGCTATATATCAGTATCCAAGGAATAAAGCAGTCTAGACTTGGCTTCATATGTAAATGAGTGTCAGGAGCAAGAGACTGTTATCTGTCTATGGCTTTGCTCAGTGCTGGCTTTTGGGGGTGGGGAGTGGAAATGTGGGCTGAGGTTAGTTATGGTTTATAGACAGCAGGACACAAGCCTGGAAGGTGTGGTACAAGGACATGCAATGGGAAGGTAGCTGAAACACCCTTTTTGACAGGTTAATGTGGGAGTAATGACATAAATGACAGGGAGACATCTGTGGAGGGACTGATTCCCTACCTAGAGAGTTTAAAGTAGGCTGGACAGGCAGGGAAAGAAGGAGCTCCATCAGCAGTAGTATCATGCTTTTTACTTGCTAATATGTTGCATCTTGCAGAAATATTTTTTAATCTATATTATCTCATTTGAACCTTATAACAACCTTTGGGTTTTCTTAACCCATTTTTACTGATGAGAAATATGAGCAACAGAGCATTTGGAGTTTCCCCCAAAGATAATATTGCTATCTGGTAGTAGTGATTTAGGTCTAGATCTAAGATTTATGTGTCTTCATCCAGTGCCTTCCCCTGTGGCATCCAGCTGGGTGGGACAGTGGAAATGCCCTGGATCAGCCCTTAAGAGAGAGCATTTCTCTTCCTGACCCTGGGAATGAAAAAGCAGCCAAGAACCCAGGAGGCAGAGCTAGTCCAGACTCGTTGCCTGGGATCTCTGGCTGAGCTAGTATTTTTAACAACATTTCCCTGTTAGAGAACTTAGTGCAAGCCATGCACACAGTAGGTGTTCTGTAAATATTTGTTGATGCAGTGGATGCAACACAACTGGCTCACAGCAGGCCCACCATACCTAATCGCCTCAGAAAGGACTGGGAAGAGATTGAAAACAAAAATCTCATCAATAATAGAACCTGTTGTTTTTCCTTCTCTGCCCAGGGAGACTTGGGCTCCTCAGTTGCATTTCCAGTATTTTAAGATGGGAATAATTTTCACAGTGGCAGGTACAGCTGGTGAGATGCTGTTTTAATACGAAGGAAAATGCTAGAATAGAATTTAAGAATATTAAGAAGGGATTTGGTTTCTGACAGAAATATTAGCTGTAAAGGCCGGTATGAAGATTTTAGAGAAATTTAATTAAAATTTAATCTTCTTTCTAATTAAAGTTTCCTTTAATTAAAGTTAAAATTAAATTTGCTTTAATTGGAGGAATTTAAAGGGTATTACCTTTTGATTGTCAATCATTTTGAAAGAAAAAAATTATGCTGCTTTGTCTAGTTTAAAATGAGGATTGGTGTCAAATTTCAAGAAAAGTAATAAAAACACTGTATTTAAATATAAATCAGAAATCCTTGGTGTCTGGTTCCCTACTTGCCTGGCCCAGAGACATTTGGCTTGAAACGTGGTTTCCCCCTGTGTGGGGGACCTATGAAGAAGGTATCACAGCCATCAAGGGCTTTAATATAAGAGTTTTGCATTTCTTTCTTCTTCATTTCCTTGGGGAGCTGTCTCCCCTCTTGCTGGATTGCTTTGAACTTTCCTTATGCTTTCTTCAGAGAACTTGCTCAATTGCTCAGTCTTTGGAAATGATTGTCTTTGGCCCTTCTTTGTGGCTCTGAGCCCCTTCATACTTATTTCTTCCTCAAAGTTCTTTTCCATCCATGTATTCTACTATGTATTAAAATCCCTCCAAGCCTCACAAATCCATCACTTCAGAAATTGAATAGTGAGTTGATTTCTTCTCCCTCTTAGGTCTTCACTATTTCCAATGACTATCTCACCCAGGCTTAAAAGAGAGATGCTCTCTTCTCCCTTTAAATCCTCATCTGTGATTGAGTCCTTCTGAGTAGCCTGTGCAACCAGAACTTCGGTTTACCTTACTTCATCCCTAGGTGCATGGAGAAAAAGCTCCTGGTGAGTTCTGTCTGCTTCCTATCTCCCCTGGTCTCTCCTGCATGTTGTGTCCAAATCACTGGTCTAAACAAACCCCTCTCCATCTCTCAGGATAAAGTCCAAAGGTCTAGCCTTGGCATTTAAGACCTCCAACAGTGAGGATCCAATTTACCTTTTCTACTTTCATCTCACATGATTTTGCTCAGTTAACTCCAGTTATGCCAGTTTATCCACTGCTTCTTAAATATACCTAGAGATTTTGGGTATTTGTGGGTGTTTTTTGTTGTTGTTGTCATCGTCATTCTTCCAGTCTAGACTGCTTTCTTTTTCTCTTCCTCTTTCCTACAAGACCATCAGACCCTCATGAAATTTCAAGTTGTTTAAAAAGCAACCCTTTATCAGTCTGGCCTGGCATTGGCTGGTCCTGCTTTAGCCCTGCAATGCAAAATTTATCCTGCATGCTAACACTTAACATCCTTGTTCACATTTGTCTATATTTGGTGAATTCATAAACCTGGAATGTACATTTCACCACCATCTGTGATGTTAAGTCACAGAATTGCTATCATATTTCATATCTAACCAATATGGTGCTTCAAAGGGTCCAGGTCTATAGCTTGTGAGTAATGGAGTGAGAATTAGAACCCAAGTTCTCTCCTTGCTTATTTTACCAGGTCTACTTTACCTTCCTCTTCATCTCTGAGGTTTTCTGTAAAACTCTGGTTTGGGGACGCTTTGTTTAAATGCTTCAGAAAAGAAGGATAAAGCTCTTTAAAGAACTCAGTATTAAAAACTGTTGGGACTTACTAAGCTAGTTAAAAAAGAAAATCTTTTTTCTATTTTATGCAAAGTAAGTATGACACAAATGAAGATCTTCAAAGGAGGATAAATGACCAGCTGCCTGCAGGCTTGTCCTTGTTAATGGAGACATGCAGTCTTGAAGGCATCCCTCTCCCTTGCTCTCTTTCCTTCCTTCTCTCCAGCTCTCTTTCCCTCCCTCCATTCCTTCC